TCCTAGCCTCACTGCTCATCAGGCAGTACGTGACCTGTGGGAGGATCGATCTCCAGCATGCAAAACAGAATACCAGTGAAGAAAAGCATGAACACTTCATCGGAGTGCAACTCATTTACGAGAAAGCGAATCTGAACCCAGCGGAGCTGGTGGAATTTATCTTCAAGCGACTTGGAGCAATGGTCAAACCCAGGACGAATTCAGACGGGCTTCCATGTGGTGCCATAGTCGTCGACAATGTCTTAGTACGATGCATGCCACGCAAACGAGTGCAGAACAATGACACAGGGTAACTACGCACAGAAGGGGTCCTGCCGTAGAAATAGATGGCAATCCAGTCAAAGTAGTTCGTTACCTGCAAAGCACCCTCCGGAGTTTTAAACTTCTCCGGTGGGGCTTGCACTAGGCCGGTTCCTATGTGGGCGTCATTGTACGTCTGAGGTACTCCGGTTCAATATGGCTCCGTTCAGCGGGTGGTCTATTGAGGTGCAGCCTAAATAATAAAACTTCGTTATTTTTTATTGAGCCCCATGGCTTTTTTCACCAAGTCCTGAAGGAGCCGACCTCCCAAAGGCAGTGAAGAATCGCCGCTACCATCACTTGGTCCATTTTGAGGGATGCTATTTCGTCGTCGTTCGGAACAAGGTCAAGGCGATGTTTGATGGGGCTCAATTCCAATTTTTCTCCCACATGAACAGCAGATTCCAGGTCCACAACTTTGGCGAACAACACCCCATTGTTTTCTTGAACGCAGATATTGCCAGGGTGCAAGTCGGCATGCACCATGCTTTTGGCTTGGAGAGCGGGCAAAGCTGTCTCCAGGATATCTCGTTTTACCACCTTAGCAAGCTCTTTCCCCACCTTTCCACTGACAACGAGTTTGTCCAAAGGGATACCAACGTCTTCCAGTACCAAGAACGGAAGGTGGCCGTATCCGCTTACCAAGTTTACAACTGCATCGCAGGTCTGCATTTGCATCAGGTTGAAGCGCTCGTCGCATATGCGTTTGTAGCGGGGTTTCCGGCTCTACGGCATCTTCAAGACAACTTTCTCGCCGCTATTGGCGGTGGCCTTGGCCACGAAGTATCTGTCCTCTGCAAGGATTTCTGATACCAAGAATTCAGTGGTGGTGTCTGTGAGAATGCGTAGCGACTTTGCAACACCATCATCAATCATCCCAGCGTGGGCCTCCACAAGACTCATCCTGCTGCACTGCGCTAAAAGCTAGTGTAAAGATCTTTCGAGTGTTTTGAGTTTGAGAGAATGAAAGTTATGAGAGGATTAGAAAGCTATGAAAACTAATCAACGAGAGAGATCCACAATCAAAGGATCGTAGATCTGAACTCCCGCGGGAGACTGTAAAGTGTGATAGAGTAGGTTGCGATAGCAATCCTACTCACTCCACGATCCAAAAACGGAACGCGTGGAAGATTCGTCTAGCATTTATCTAGTAGCGTGGAATCTCTCCACGCCAGCTAAATATCTAGCGCGATGTTTCACCATCGACCTAGTATGACTAGCGGTCATGAGAACCCTGTCTCAATGACTATTCACGAGAGACTCAGTCATGAGTCGAACTCAAACCCTATCTAGGATCGAGTCGCGAATAAGGCTAAGAGCCGTGTATTGCACTGCATATAAATGCAAGCCATTTGGCTAGTTCACTGAAATCATACGAGTTGTCAATGTTCACAACGTCCACATCATGGGACTGTTCGATGAAAATATCACACTCTGATTCCGAGTTGGTAACTCGAAGCCGCAAAAATTGCCGCTCAATCCCGTCTGTGATGACTCCGTACCCCACTGCCGGCGAGAGGATATCAACCGAATTCAGCTTCTTGATAAAATCCCTCTTCAATTCCAATATCGCATCCTCACGCTTCGTCGCATCGGAAATATTGCTCTTGTGCTCGAAAGATACGAGGTTGCCGTAGCGGTTCATTTGGCTCCTTTTGTCTGTTGTTTCTGCGTAGAGTCTAATGTCCATCTTATCCTGAAGGATCGGGAACTTAGATAGCCACTTCTTGTTCTTCTTGGCAATGGCTTGGATGGCAGGAAGAGCTGCACCGAGAATACGGTTCACCACCCATTGTGTGTAGTTCAATTCAAATTTGTCGATACCATCATTGCGGTTGTCTCTGAGAATGTCCAAGGCCTCTTTTGCGGTCGTCTCAGCATTGAACAAATCGCAAGCGGCAGACGCGTTAGACTCTTGAGAATCTGGTTGGGAATCAACCAAAACTGGTTGATAATAATTCTGTGGAGCACTTTTGTTTCGCGGTGACGGTCTTCTCTCTGCTTCACGACCAGAAACGCCCCCCTCCAAAATGTTGTTCCATGCTTCTTCCATGGCCTCAACCTCCTCCTTCAGTTCCGGAAGGACTTCAATGGACCACTCTTGGTGTGGTCCTTTCTTCGCTCTCTTGCTAGGAGGTTGGATGTCTGTGCTGTTGTTCGTGGCAACCTGGCTTGTCGACAGTGAGCGTGGATTAGGGTTCATCTCGCGAATGAGCCCGTGAACTTTTAGGATATCTACTTTCAACTCATTAGTGTTACCCTTGTTTGCAAGTGCCCAAATCGCCTCTTCTTGTTTTTTGTACTCCTCCACTAGCTTCTCCACTTGTGCATCGCCGGACTCCGGTGTTGCGCTCGCTTGCTGGTTCTCCTGCTGATCTTGCTGCTCTTGCTGTTGTTCCTCGCCATCAGCCCCGCCTATTCCACTCAGGGCCCATCGTGCCAAATCCATGGTTGCGATCAATGACTCGACTCGACAAAATTGCACTACGCTAAAAGCTAGTGTAAAGATCTTTCGAGTGTTTTGAGTTTGAGAGAATGAAAGTTATGAGAGAGATTAGAAAGCTATGAAAACTAATCAACGAGAGAGATCATCATCAAGGGATCGTAGATCTGGCTTCCCGCGGGAGACTATAAAGTGTGATAGAGTAGGTTGTGGTAGTAATCCTACGTCTCTCCACGATTCCAAAACGGAACGCGTGGAAGGTTTGTCCAGCCTGGATCAAGTAGCGTGGAAGTATTCCACGCTGGCTAAATATCTAGAGCGATGTTTCATCATCAACCTAGTATGACTAGCGCGGTCATTG